AAAAATTAATAGCATGGCTGATGGTTGAATAAACTGGGCAGTTCAAGAGAAGAAAAGGTATATAATTGTATGACAGACAAAACTATACTAGGTCAAGGGAAACTAGCTTTAAAATGTCTACAGAATCTGCTGGCTCCACAATTAGCCTCAGTCATTGGCAGTTTAATCCACGAGTAAATTAGTAAATTGGACAATTCTGACCGCAGAGCTATAAAACAGGAAAGAAGGCGAGGGTTTAACTTCCCACCCCCTTCCCACAGTCTATCCCTGACTGTAATGCCATTGACCACAGGGCTTTAAAACAGGAAAGAAGAAAGGGGTGGATTGAGATACCATTGACCAAAGGCTCTAAAACTAGAAACAAAGGGGTGGGTTAATCTACCCACCCTTTCTCACGATCAATTCTTGAATGATATGCCATTGACCTCAGGGCTCTAAAACAGGATAGAAAAAAGGTGGGGTACAACTTCCCACTCCCTAACCACCATCTGTTATAAAAAATGCAAAAACCATAATGTTCAGCAATTGTTCTTCCCTATTGAATAACTGTTGACTTGGATAATTTGTCTGATGAGTTAAAATATAAAATGCAAAAACTCAAAAGTGGAGCTGTCAGGGTAATATTAGGAACAAGTTGGGATACCCCCACTAAAGGTACCAAATAGTTTAGACTGGGTAAAATGGGTAGAAATAGGAAGATATATTTAAAGTTGCTAAGTTATTGCCAAGCTTTATTCAATGTATTTTTGGCAAATACCGGCGCTATATAAATGTTCTATTCTATTCTATTCTATATGTCTAATAAGCACTGTCCCACACATTCAAGAGCAGTGCTTAGCAAAAAGTACATTTTTGGTGCAGCGCCTATTTAAGAACAGTGCATATTTGAGAGAGGGGCTTATTCAACCATTCATAGTGATATACATGTAGTATAAGATTTAACAAATTGTTGCTTGGTAATAGTTTTCTAATATGGTTTTTGTCAGACGAGATAATCAAGATGCTACTGTCAAAATATTAAATTTGATAGTTTCAGACATGACAACTAATTTTCTCAAAAACTTGACTTTCAGGTTTTGTGGGAACACTGACAATTTTCTTTAATAGGAATTGTAAAGGAAGGAAGGGACTGAACGTGGTATGCATCATTATCATCATCATCATCATCATCATTGCTTAATATTATTTTTACAAGGTCCTTATTTGCTCTTGGTGACTCAGGGTTTTAAAACCAGTTTTTCTATTGACAGGGAGACCTTTAACTAATCTCACTCCGCTGGAATTTTATCATCAAGGTTTGATCCAGATGTCCTGGCCCTTCGAACCATGATAACTGCATGGTTGGTTTTTCTTCAATTAACCGTCACTGCATAATTTTGCAAAAATCCTTCATTAACGCAAGTAATTGAATTGTGGCAAATCCTTTATAATTGAACTATGCCTGTTAAGTCTTGCAATCTGTATCTCAGTAATGACCTTATTCAATGCTATGCATCTACAAGAGGCAGTAGAGGCAACAGGTTGGGCTTAAGTCGGGGCAAAAAAAAAAAAAAAAGATTACTGCTATTCATATTTTCTCTCATATTGACAAAATGAAATTTGTTTTCAGATGTTTTTTTAATGGCTTATGATTCAAATCTCGGTTGTAATTAAGTCACTGCATACATGATATCAGTTAGTGTTTATTATTATGTTTAGAAATGACAACTTCAATATTTCAGGCTTTGTTACACTGAGCAGTGTCCCCCTATGCATCATACAGCCTTGGGTAAAAGGATTATCAGAATCAAAGTTTCCTCTTTGACATAAATGTGACCATTTCCTCTTGTAATTAACCAATAATGAAATTGGAAAATTTAGAGAAGTTACTGTAGAAGGATAAAATGAAGAATAGCTAGAAGCAATAAGGCTGTAAGGATTAGTGGCTGTGCTTATCCTTAGTGCTTACCGGCACTCCACTAATCTACACTACTAATATGTAATCAAACTTTTTCGTAATGATACGTGTGCTGACTGTAAGGCTGCAGCCTTACAATCAGCACACGTATCATCTGATTATCAGAGCAGTTTGAGCAGATCACTGATAAAAGCGATTCGCAATGCGCAACTTTTTGTGTTTGTGTTTCTCCATTGAATCGTATCGTCTGATGACCATAGCCTCAGTGTGTACCTAATATACATGGCTGACTGTATACTTGGGGAGTGTTGATCATTTGGTACCACTGATGCTGAATAACCAAGCTGGGAGTGGAGTGCTCATCATTTGGACACTATAACTAAGTCCCATTTTACCAATATTACATCCAGACCTTAGGACAGAAATAAAGTTAGTATGTCTGTCTGTCTTCTACATATGCAATCCAAATATGGAAGTATAATTAGGGAAGAATTCAAAAAAATCAAAGGAATTTCCTTATGACATGAATTGATACATTACATCCTCAGTGAGTCAATCGTATGGTAGCAGACAGCCTCGGGAGGCCACAATCCCTGCTATAAAGGGAGCATGTCTCCTGCCTTGGAAATAGCAAGGCTAGGGTTGTGGCTACAGTAGGTATTAGGCAGCCTCAGGAGCCCTGAATCCATGCTATAAAAGAAACATGTCTCCTGCCTTGGAAATAGCCAGGTTTAGTGTTACAGCCAGATAGCAGCAGCCACAGGAGGCCCTCAATATTTGCAATAAAGGGGGCATGTCTCCTGCCTTAGAAAAAGCATGGTTAGGGTTACAACATTATGTTATGATATTAGGCAGCCTCTGGAGGCCCTCAATCTATGCTATAATGGGGGCATGTCTCCTGCCTTAGAAATAGCCAGGTTAGGATTACGGCTAGGTTGGATAAAGGCTGGGTACTGTAGCAGGCACCCAAGGGGCCCTCAATTTATTAAAAATATATTAGGGCCTCTTGTAGTTAGCTTTTCTTTAAGAATCACCATCTCAAATTATGGTATAATAAATAACCAATGACTACTATGCATAAAAAATAACCAGGCTAGGGTTAAAGCCCAGACTGTGCATGGCAGTGGTATAATTTGAGTCATTCGAAATTAATTTAAATCTGATGCTTGATTTCACCAATCCATCAATCATTTACAGGTTCTCACGAATTGACATCTCAGAAACACAAATCTCTGAAATTATTCATATAGACGTTCACAGAAGCATTTTACATCACAATGCCCGAGAAAGAGAGTTCAACTGAAATAAATCCTTCAGAATAAAGGAAGATTGGTCATATGTTGCAACTCGTGTTCCGCATACACGTCAACACATCAGGATATCCCAATCAGTTGACATATTCAAGAGGAAATTAAAAACCTTACTGTTTGAAACTTACAACATTTTATGGAATCAAATCACCATAAAAAATGTTACAATTGATTGACACATAATTTAATAACTGTAATATTTTTTGCAGCTAATTTACTGCTCGGTAATTTATGCAATAAAGTCCCTATAATCATATGTTATGATTGCTTGACATAATCTACAGGTCTCCCTCCAACTAAAGACCACTTGAAGGACCAAGCTTTTCATAGTCTTTAACAGCTTTGATCTTTAATTAGAAAAATAATCTATATATTAATTCTACTAATCGCCCTGGTGTAAGTTCACCTATCTTCTCTGAAACGGCTGGCAAGAATCCACATCCATACACTGGGGTTTCTATATGTCACGACCACATTCTGCTACTTTTCAAGGCTGGATATTGGATAACAGCGCAAAAAAAGAGCCAAAAACCATCGAAAATCAGTACCTTTTTTACCATGTTTCCCGAGTCGCTTAGGGCTGGCTGTAAAAGAAACAGCTTCATTACGTCACTGCGCATGCCTCACGTCAACAAAATATATGACCAGCATGTTTTCGTGTATCTGCTTCTAACGACACGAACATGGAGGAGTATCCATTGTATACCAAATATATTACTGTAGTCTTGTATGCCTCAAACACATCAGCAATAAATGGCATGTTTTAGAAACGATCAGGTAAACATAAATGTACGCCTGGGCACAAATAGGCATGATATTTAAAAATAATTTTCGGCTAGGCCCAAGGAAGACTACCCCAGGCCTAGAGCCCTCCCGTATTTGGCACGTGCCTTCCGGTTTTTCCACTAAATTTTTGAAATTTCAGTGCATATTATGTAAAGTGCTACTCACATATCCATTCTAAAACTGTTGTGGGCCCCCTCCTGTTACAAAAATTCTGGATACGCCCTTCATCAAACTGGACAATAATTCCTCACAAGGACTATCCAGCAAAGACACTCATCTACAAAGATGTCCTTTAGAAAAATAGTAACATGCTAACCATAACATCCATGACGATTGCCTCCTCTAAGACTTCCCATTACATTCAACAATATATATCGCCACCTTTCCCCACTCATTCAACACCGTGTGGAGCACAGGTATATGCTAGTCATTATAAATATAAATGATAGGTGTTCATCCAGGTCAACAGAAAGGTGGTCTCTAATTGAAGGTGGTCTTTAATGGGAATGGTCTTAAATTAGAGAGAAAAGTGTATGTCAAGTTACTAATGTATTTTATTGGAGTTTTGTAATTGTGTCTGTATTGCAAACAAGTTGCCTTTGCCCTGTTTGTACCATTGAAAACTAAGAAAAAGAAATATGAATAAGATTATCTGACCAGGGTTATTTGAAACAGACAGCATATATTAAACTACTATCACATTAAAGAAATCTTAAATGTTATTCATAGACATAGAATTCTTGGCACAAGATTATGTCGTTCTCATGAGAATCCGCAAGGAAGTTGGAAGTTAATCTTTCAAACATTTCTGAGCCATCGACTCACCAAAGATTCCAGGGGGAAAAAGGTATTCATTTACTAACTTCAAACTTTAATCATATTTATCTTATCAGCTATGAATTCATTGATAGTTTTAATCATTTCAGGAGTGAGAGATAAAAGAATACTCTCGATGAAAAAATAAGCTGATGATGTTTTGTGAAAAGCACGCTAAGATGTCATCTTACCTCCTGCGAAAGGACAGCATCGGTGCCTATGAGCTGAACTTGACCATTGACTATATCATCAGCATTATCTGAGTGATCATGGACAAGACCTGCTGTCCCTTGCTGCATGTGAACGTTTGTGTTGGGGTGATCGTGTACCAGTACCGAGGGCTCCTGTTGTATGTCATCTGAATGAAGAGCTAAAACAGAAAGACATATGGTGGAAGTTATACCTTAATGTTCTTTTATTTTTGTCAGCAATGACATAGGAGCATAGTGAAATAAAAAAAACAAAAAAACCACCACATAGTACATGAATTGAATTGTGCCCAAAAAACAAACATGGAACCATAATCAAAGGGGGCAAAGAAAAAAGGGCAAGAAACATACAGAGACCTACTTATCTACTGTTATATAATGTTTTCTATTCATGCACTTGCCTATTTTGTCTAAATGTACAGCACATTTATGTCAACGTACTATATTAGGCCTATATGTAGGCTAAAAGTGTTATTATATATAAAGTGAGTACTGAGACTTAGTTGAATTGGTACTAACTAATGATGTTTGACTTACTTTAAGAGTTTGTGGATTCATTGCTAATCAGTGTCTGTTCACAGTCATGTTAGAGGGCAGAATAAAAATGGTGGCAAAATGGACAAGTCACTGACCATGCGCAAACGATCTTTGACTCCCTTTTCAAACGACCAGCATTAAAAATTAAGTACACCAAATACCAATTTACATTGGAAAATGGCGTTCTAAGGAAGCTGACCGTATTCTAGCATTTATTATTTAAAAGGTCACCTTGGTCATTCGTAAGTAAGGCGGCTTTTGATCAGACACAGGTCATTTTTATTTAGTGCCACAAATATGCAATGAGGCTGGTTCCATGCATTTAGTCTTCATTTATCGGTTAGTTCCAGTACAAGTTCAGATAAATAGAAATTCTAGGTCTAGTGATTAACTCTTTTTTATCTGTACTTATTGCTAAGCATATAACAATTTTGGTATTTCATGTTCTTTAAATCCCACTACATTATTTGATTATATTTGGACTTCTTTTTGGTGCAAAACACACCAAGAATAACACACAGCATGGTCCATGAGGTAGAGAATAGGGCAGTACACCATCAGACAATCCCTTGCCCACATGGGCCCTAATGCACACAGAACCAATGGCTTAAACTCATATAAGGGACCTCTGTGCTTAAACTTGATTTCAGCCCTCCAACTGGGATTGAACCAAGGCCACCGGCCTGAAAGGATCTTCATGGTTAAGTCATAGAGAAAATAGAACAGTTCTATTTTCTTTATGGTTAAGTGCACACATAGCGGCTACCTCAGTTCAGCAGACTGAGAAATCTGTATAATTAGCAGTTTGTAGATTTAATAAAATGACACTTCTCAGACATTTGAACTTGGCCTACGTCTCATATTACATTACTAGTATTTGTTGCAGAATGTTAGTGAGAGTAAATGAAGATGTAGAACTAGATGATCTGCTTCAATTTAGATCATTATTAAAACACCTGATTAAAGCACTAATTTTAATAAAAATACAAATTGTTGATCAGTACTGGTATTTTAATCCGATTATCAGTCAGTTATACATCCAATTATCTTTTAATCTACTGTACTCCCACACCTAATACCAACTATTCAACAACTGAGATGCCTCTAAGCCAACTGTAAGTATGCATTGATAACGAGGGTTCAATTAATGTACAAATATATTAACAAAGTAAAATTTAGAAAGCTGCTGTGTAAAGTAAAATTTTGAACAGATGTCAGTGTGAATAATTGACGTACATCAACTCTCATTTAAATCAACAGGACAGATTCAAGTCTAAACAATATCACAAATAAAAATAGATGGATTTATTGAGGAAGATGCTGTCGTAAAGTCGACCGTGTCTTTCGTTGAAAATCAGGCATTTCCAACATGACGCCAGTTTACCCCAATAAAATAATTAATAATTGGAACCAGAGAGAAATAATGATCAAGTTAATGATTGAGTTCTTTGCACTTTCTTGCTCCTTGGGCATCAATTAGTCTAATTAAATCAATTAAGCAAAAATGGGCTATATTTAAAGTACCTTTTGCACTGACTTTTTTTGCTTATGCTACATAATTTTTGGTTGATATCCTTTTACAATGACACACATCCTGAATGCTACTCAGTGTAATTTCTTTTGATACTTTTTCACTGTTATGTCCTCAGCGTGCTAATGTATGTTTTTTGATACCTTTTACGCTACTCATGCTACTGCTTTTGATACCTTTCATGCTACTCACATCACTTTATTCTTTCTGATATCTTATGACGCACTGCCCCTGTCTCCAATTCTACCAAAATTTCATTTGTTTCCTTTTACACGACGTGAATATCTTTATTTCACACCGATTCCAGCTTTGGATGAAATCATAGTGATATTGCTATTTCTTGAATTGTATTTATATTAACTAATTGCCTATCTACCAATTTCAAGCTCCCCTATTTTATTCTTGCATGGATAGTTTTATAATTTCATTTAATATGAACTAATAATCAACAATCGTATTTTGGGAAGAATGCCAGAAGGGGCTTATTCACAACCAATAATTTACAAATGTCCATGTCTATAAAATGCACTTTCATAAATTGCTGTTCTTCCTCAGGGGACATGCATCATATTCCTTATGGATTCTCATCCTTAGTCATATTTGATCTTATTTATTTCATATCTATATTTGGGGAACATGTTCAGTAGCAACCTACTTTTGCCCCAGTAAATGCCCAGTCAGTTTGAAAAAAATTCAGGCTGCCTGCATTTATTTTTTCAGTCAAATTACTTAAACTGTGCAGTTATTTACCATGCGAATGCATCCCAGTAAATATAACAGTTTTCACTGAGTCTACAATGAAAAAGGGACTCGGTGAAACATGAGCGTGTATAACTACCATATGCATTGCTAAACTGGATGTATTCACGGTTTGACTGAGCAAAAAACCCTAATGCGCAAAACCGTATTATGTGTATCTTAAATTTGAATGCGAACAGGAGCGGTCCTACAAGGTAGAGTAGTCTATCTCATGTGAACATAGTTAAAGTTTCATTATGTAGTCTGTTGAGTGGTCTGCTTAGTTCTGAAATCCTGGCTTTTGATCAGATTTGAACCAAAAAAAAAAATCAAAAAATGCAAGTATCTTGACCAGCTGTGTCTGAAATTTAAAATGTTTGACTGCTGCTTGTTGGCTAATTGGCTGTTGATTGCTAGCTAATGTGATCGCTATATGTACTGTACTTCTGTTCCAATCCCACAGTAGAGTTTTAGACGGGACTCGGAGCCACTCTTGCTAACCTACTTATTAACTAATAACTAACTGATATTCAACTTATTTCCATTGTGATTATACAGTAGCTTGTTCTTCCCCAAACGAATTATTTATTCTGTATTTCCATTCCAAAGCTTTTCTTTTACAATTCAAAGTAATCTATTACAAACTTTCTAAATCAAAGACACATTTATTCTGAATCATGTTAATCCGATTTAAATTTGTTTTTCAAAATTACATTTAAATGAAATATTATCTTAATACACAATTCATCCCAAAGAGCCTTTTATTTTTACTTGCCAAGATGAAGTGTGCAAGATAGAAAGAGAACAAACAGATGAACAAATGAAGAAGGAAGGGAGAAAGCATTGGTTGCTTGGTGAGCCAGAGAAAGTGATTAATTTTGCTATTGGCAATCAAGTCTACCTCCTTAAAACATTATTACTTGTCTTGTGTATTTTTTTAAAAATATTGTATTTTACATAAAGAGACAAAAATAAATGTAGTACAATTGCTGATCCTCTCTGCAAGCTACCAACTAACTTTGGGTTTTGATGACCACCTCTCCCAACAGTTTACCTAATTTTTATCTTATAACAACCCAAAATATTACAGAACCATAAATGTTGTGAACTCTCTGTTATGTATGTCAGCCTATTATAACTGCAAAATTGTCAATATCATAATAGCAACTGCTTGGCAAGAAAATGATAAAATATGGTGATGCCCATATCAACATAACATTTGAGAACAGCAAAATGAAATGACACAGGTAAATGAAAGTGTAGAATAGAATGGCCATGGAAAGCATTAATGGAAGAATAGTAAAGATATGAAGGAAAGAAGGAAATACAAATAGAAAATTCACAACTGATTTTATTATATCACTATGCATTATATCGTTATCTGCGAATTGTTACATATTTGGGCAAAATAACATAAAACCATTAATAAAAATATTACAACATTATATAATATAATTAAATATTAGATACTTAAACTAAGAGGATACTGGAGAACATGAAGCTTTGAACTGTGGGATATGCATGGTTTACTATTGATTGATATAGTGAGCGACAACTTCTGCTTTATGGGATCAAATAAAGTGAGTCTGGGTCACAATAAATGATTGATTTAATGCCCATTTTCATCTAATTTGTCATCATGTTCTACAACATATACTTACTTTATACATTCTCCTAGCCCTTTCTCAAATTGATTTATTCATTGAGTATAATTCTACCCAGCAGCTAATATCACATTCAACGATGCAGAATTTACTACCAATGATTTCATAGATTGAATTCAGAATAGTAAATTACAAGCAGTGTTTACTGAGCTGAACTCTCATGAGGGGGGAATTTACCATAACTTTTCTATAACTTGTGGAATGTACAATGTGTACTCAGGTGGATTTCTCTTGAGGCTTACATTTTGGAGAGTATTTGCATACCCCAATTGCCTACATTACTTTAATAAATTTTAATCATTATGCTGTGTAGCACTGACATTATAATTATTAAAAAAATATACAATAACAAATAAATTTGAGCAATGTTCTGTCATTTACCTACTTGTTTATACTGTACTACTAGAAGAAATCCTTTTGAAGAATTATATAGTAAACTATTTGACTTTTTTTGTTACTGAATATTTTCAGGACAGACGTACTTGTCTACATGCTGTCTTGGCATTCATCCACTCCCAATCAAACTATTATGTAAACTAAAATTGGCAAATAAAAGTCTTTTTTAAATATACTATTCATAATTTTGTTTCAAGTATTTGTCTTAATTATAAAAAAACAAAAACACAATGACATTGAGTGAACATTAAAAGAAACTTGAACATATTTTTCTCAAAAATATTTTATATAGGTCTAATTTCTGAAGATGAGAAAACAGACAGTTGAAATAATGAATCAGAAATTGATGGATGTCTATAAAGTATTTCTACTTATAAGTCTGTCATATATGACTAACAATTATATATAATTATTTATAATTTTTTAGTATTAATCAACTTCATAAATTAGCTGGCAATGGTCAGGAAAAGCTTGGCATCGCCTGCAACGGAAAGCATGGCATTGACTACTGAGGAAAGCATTGCAGCGACTGGTTAAAACTTGGCTTTGCCTGTTGGGGAAAGAGTTGCAGAAACTGCTGGTTATAGCTTGGCAAAGCCTGCTGGGGAAATTATAAGCTTGGCAACCATTGCTGGAGAATGCTTGGCATCAACTATCAGGTAGAGACGAAAATTCAGTTGTTGAATTGTTGGGAAATTTTACTCGGGATATGTGATTGGAGGGCAAGCATGTTAAGCTGGGCATGAACTACACACGACGTTGACGGCCGGCGCACTTGCATAAAGAACGCAAAGCGAATGTTTTTAATGTCGATTCGTTGAGACTGCTACGAACTATCAGCAGACAGTGTAACGTCATCTAATGATCACATGGAGCGAAGTGTCCGGCTTAAACCTCAAAGCCACAACTACTGGTATGTAATACTAAAAACTGCAACTTACCTTCATCATTACTTGTTGGTGTGTTGATAATGAGATCCTCATGAGCCGCTTGATTGATTTGAACTGTCACATTATCATTACTTAAGGATGTCGCCTTAAAAAAACAAGAAAGTATATCAATCATTTGGTACCATTTTCATCATGTAGATTGTAGAGAGAATGGCGTTTAAAAACTAATAATGGTTATTGATTTGATTTTTTATCTTTACGAAAACCAAGTCCCAAATATTTGATGGATATTATTTTATTTAATTCATTTTAGACCAGAGCCAAAAATTTGAAATTCATAGTCATTGAGTAACACTGAAGTGAAGCTTTCCTACCCTTTGCTCCTTACACTTGGGAACCATGGAAATATCTGACTATAGAAATCATGAACCCTGGAATGATAGACATTTAGCAACAAAATTAAATTACTAAATCAATATGATTTTATTTCTAGACTACTACTGTGTCGTTTATATCCCAAGCAATGGGAATTACAAGTTTCCCTAAAAATAGACTATAATGTACTATCTGGATGTCAGGATCAATTGAGGAAAATTTCAGAAGCTGACGAGATGACAAATATGCTGTTCTTTCCTTCCCTTAGTAGATGAGTAGGCCTACACTCATGATTATTATATCTTATCACTTGAATGCAAGGTTCAAACCGAATCATGAACCTGAGTACTTCCAACATTTGCTTATCGTTTTACTACACTGGTGTAAATCTCAGATGTGTTTCATTATTGATTATTCTAAAACTATTCAACTGTATTCACAAGTGGGTCTCATTATAAGAGAGAGCATTAACATTTATAATATTGTGGTTGAAATCTGTAACTGTCCTTAAATTGATTACCAGTCAATTAAAACTCTATGCAAAAGAATAAACAAACAAGACATCAAACCAAACACGATATAAGACCGATATAAGACCGAGCATTTAAGATTTGTAGAAGTCTAATTTTTTTGGTCAACATGAAATGCCAAAAACAATGCAGGAAAAAAATTCTCTGCATTCTCAAGTAGATGAATGAGACCTCGATTATTCTAAAACTATTCAACTGTATTCACAAGTGGGTCTCATTATAAGAGAGAGCATTAACATTTATAATATTGTGGTTGAAATCTGTAACTGTCCTTAAATTGATTACCAGTCAATTAAAACTCTATGCAAAAGAATAAACAAACAAGACATATAAACCAAACACGATATAAGACCGAGCGTTTAAGATTTGTAGAAGTCTAATTTTTTTGGTCAACATGAAATGCCAAAAACAATGCAGGAAAAAAATTCTCTGCATTCTCAAGTAGATGAATGAGACCTCCACTAGGTAAAATCAAACTAAGATACACATCAACGCAAAATACAAGGTCAAAGGTTATATCACATATTTGACAATGATTTTTTAACAAAATCCACTTCCTCAAGGGATGGATACAAACTAGAGGTTAAAAAGTACTTTGTGAAATTGAATAAAATCCCACTATACAAGCAGGAATGTAAGTTACAACCAGAATTTAATTTTATGACATTTTTTCATGATAGTTATGCTACATTATTCCCACATTTTAGTACTGTACTACTATGGCACTCTTATACTGTAGTGTATTATACAGAAGCGTTTTCTCAAAGAGCAGCAAAAATCAATTTGTTTAACTGGGGGTATTCACCAGTAATGCGCTATTAAAATTTATGCAGGGCGGAGGTGGGCGGCGCCACCACCCACTCTTGACGTCTTGCGCCCATCCTAAAGCTATTTTTAAGGCCTTCTGCCCAGCCTCATACAAATTCTTCCCCCCCCCCTTTAAAATCATGAAGAAACACAAGTTTTTGCTCCATAAACCGTATTTTCCGGTGAATAAGCAGCAAATTTAATACGCGATTTTTCCCTCGAAGTTTGGGGTGCGACCTATACACCAGTCGTTAACCTACTCCCAAAAAGTTCAGATCGCGAACCGCAGCGAAAATCAGGCGCCGTCTGTCTAGCTTGGGCCCATGCTCCTAGCCCAATTAATTAACCTAGCCTTTGTTGAAGGGCTAGTATTTGTAATTACACTATACAGTGCTGTACTGTGATTCCTACTACATTTTCTACGACAATCAAGCAATGGTTTGGGTTGTTTAAATAATTATTTGCATAGTTACTTTCACTCAAACAATTTTGAAACACGTTTTATTCGAAATCGCTTCGCTCAAAACAATAAATAACCTTCTTTTCGGGAGTGTGCTCCTAGAGGTCACGTGAGCAGCTTCATTTATGATGTCGCAACAAAACACACGTGGGCTGTTGAAACTTTCTGTTCAACGTCTGGTTCCCGGTGGCTTGTACCGTTATAGAAAGAATACTGATACTGCTATATTTCAGAATAAAATCTTGTGAAATTAATTTATGCAATAAAAACACGAGTTTTCTTGAAGTTGTAATAATTATTTTACTGGAAATTAATTGAAGAAAGGCATACATTCGTCAGTCTATCACATGCCTCCATCACATGCTGTATATGTGTATAGACGGTCAGTCCATCACATGCTGTAAATTTATGTGTCCATAATTTTAAGGTTCTCCCCCACCCGGGACTGTCCATCAGATGCTGTATTTTCTAACCAATATTTTACCAAACATCATTTGATGAAGCTATGCTGTAAATTTATGTGTCCATAATTTTAAAGTTCTCCCCCACCCGGGACTGTCCATCAGATGCTGTATTTTCTGACCATTTTTTTCCCAAACATCATTTGATGAACTCCCGTCCCCCCGCCAACCTTTAGGTTCGTCCGTCCATCACATGCTGTCCCCACCAACCCTTAGGTTCGTCCGTCCATCACATGCTGCATATTTATGTGTCCACATTCAGAATTTTTAACCATCATTTCTTGGAAAATAATTCCACAAATGTTGATTTTTATTGCTTGACGGTAGGCTGGTGGTAGGCCAAGAAACCTACTTCGTGTAGGCCTAACGGTATAGTATATCAGATGTGTCTAGGCCTACACCAGGTCCGACGGTGTCGCCCAAAGAGAAGCCTACATTACGTATGTGTCTAGGCTAGGCCTACAGTAGGTACACCAGATCCGTCAATCTTAGCCGTTAAAGTATACTAAAACACTAATAGAACACACAGAACACCTTCAAATAATAGCACAAGTAAGTGGCCGATATGCCACAACTATCTCAGTTTGCTCAATGTTTACTGACAGTCGCGAAAACAACATAAAGAACTTTTCTAGGCAGCTCGCGACAGAAACAAAATGTCGGGAAACTTTGACCCGACACATGCGCAAATCAAATTTTCGACTAAAAAACGACTCAAAACTGGTGGTAGGGGGTATATGTTTTATCGCCTACAGCTTACATTTTTCATCTAACCGAAAAAACAAACATTTCTTGCACAATTGCATGTCCACCAGCAAGCACAATGTATACCTGCCGCTATGCACCGTTTCGGAGCCTATTTGTTTACAAATATGCTGACCTCTTTTGGTGTCACATCTCATACACACATTTTACATGTGAACCATTACATTAGTTCCATGTGACTTAAGGTCACAAAGGAACTAATAATACATATAGCCATGCCATATCTAAATTTCCTTCATGTAGTTTTCCTATTATTCATTAAAAAAAGCAAAAAATTAATTGTGTAGAAGATAATTTACTATACTCCGGATAATCTTTTGCCCTCTACATGATGAGTACACTGTTTAAATACCTGAACAATATTATTAGTAAAGTTCAAGTTTAGTCTGTCAATTAAGTAAGGGACAATCAAAGTTAACCACAAAATCACTGATCCCGATAGTCCATGGATACTGCAATATTAATCACCAGGGCTTTCATACCTATTGGCCCCACCTGGGCTTCGCTCCTAAACTATACTGATCGTTGTTGAGAATTGTCAGATGCTTTTGGGCAGCTTATTCCGCAAATGCTGGCAACACCTCTGAATGGTAGTCATATACAGTAATCAATCTTGAGCATACCAATGTTTCACCAAAAAAATTGTTTAAAATCTGTTATATGAACATACTAATTGAGGGCGGTAGATATACTGATCATAAGAACATTTAACCAAAATACATTAGTTTTCAGCTAGTGCATTTTTAGACACTCTAATTATCAAATTTACAGAACTATGTGACACCCTTCCTCTAAACTTATTTTATCCTGATATAAGTAGTAAAATTTAAATTTCCTATCAAAATCAGCTGGGACTATTTTCTTGTCTGTTATTCTGTGCAAACTGAAACTAAGGCAACAAGTGTTACACTAACAGGATGATAAGTGTTTCCTATGGTATATTATATTTTGGACAGCAGCTGATGAATTAAATTTAAACAATTTTACATAAAGTATGATGAGCGGAAATAGCACAATTGAATATTGGAATTTCACATTGAATGAACGTCTGAAATTAAGACACTTTTGTTAATACATGCCCCAATTGTGACAATCTTATATTTAGGTCATCTAATTTTAGATGACCTAAAAAATGACAACTAAAAAAAATGTCATCATCTATGACCAGGAGGTTAATGGTTAACTCAAAGATGTGTCAGCATTATCATGAAACTAATTATCTTATTTAATGCGTATCATAAAAAATAAAATCATTTGTTTATTATTTCTAACACAACACTTGCTTCCATATAATTAGCACGTCAACCTCAGTTAAGAACGCTTTAGATTTCAACTAGTATTTTCCAAATGAAATCACTCGATGAAATATAAAAAAACATAAACTAGGCTGGGTTCAAAAGTTGAAAAGTTTGATATAGTAACATTCTGGAAAAGTATTCTGCCAGATAAACTAGGTGAGCTGTCACACCCATGGACATAATGAACTTAAATGTTGCATAGAACAGGTGAAAAAGAACGGCCTTAAAAAACATAAAACTTTGATGGTCCATCAATGGAGGTATGCTTCATCTAAAGAGCGGAACATTAAGCTGACTGCATGGTATTTGAATCCAGGTGAAGATAAACAGCTGAGTACTAATGCTTAATAGCCGAGTACTTGTCCTTTACATCTACATAAAGTTTGTAAAGCTCTGATTGATACCAACAATAAATATAGTTGTATGTTGGGAAGCAATGTTACGCTACA